TCGAGCTCGGTACCGATTCTGAAATTCTGAGATTCTGAGATTCTGAGATTCTGAGATTCTGAGATTCTGAGATTCTGAGATTCTGAGATTCTGAGATTCTGAGATTCTGAGATTCTGAGATTCTGAGATTCTGAGATTCTGAGATTCTGAGATTCTGAGATTCTCAGAGATTCTGAGATTCTGAGATTCTGAGATTCTGAGATTCTCAGAGATTCTGAGATTCTGAGATTCTGAGATTCTGAGATTCTGAGATTCTGAGATTCTGAGATTCTGAGATTCTCAGAGATTCTGAGATTCTGAGATTCTGAGATTCTGAGATTCTGAGATTCTGAGATTCTGAGATTCTGAGATTCTGAGATTCTGAGATTCTGAGACTCTGAGATTCTGAGATTCTGAGATTCTGAGATTCTGAGATTCTGAGATTCTGAGATTCTGAGATTCTGAGATTCTGAGATTCTGAGATTCTCAGAGATTCTGAGATTCTGAGATTCTGAGATTCTGAGATTCTGAGATTCTGAGATTCTGAGATTCTGAGATTCTGAGATTCTGAGATTCTGAGATTCTGAGATTCTGAGATTCTGAGATTCTGAGATTCTGAGACTCTGAGATTCTGAGATTCTGAGATTCTGAGATTCTGAGATTCTGAGATTCTGAGATTCTGAGATTCTGAGATTCTGAGATTCTCAGAGATTCTGAGATTCTGAGATTCTGAGATTCTGAGATTCTGAGATTCTGAGATTCTGAGATTCTGAGATTCTGAGATTCTGAGATTCTGAGATTCTGAGATTCTGAGATTCTGAGATTTTGAGATTCTGAGACTCTGAGATTCTGAGATTCTGAGATTCTGAGATTCTGAGATTCTGAGATTCTGAGATTCTGAGATTCTGAGATTCTGAGATTCTCAGAGATTCTGAGATTCTGAGATTCTGAGATTCTGAGATTCTGAGATTCTGAGATTCTGAGATTCTGAGATTCTGAGATTCTGAGATTCTGAGATTCTGAGATTCTGAGATTCTGAAATATTCTGATATTCTTAGGTTCTGAAATATTCTGATATTCTTAGGTTCTGAGATTTTAAAATTCAGAGATTCTCAGAGATTTAGAGATTCTCAGATTCTTTGCTAAAAGTCATAATCTCAATTTTCGAAAAAAAAATTATGTTTCATGTTCATAGTAAAAATTCTTGACACGAATTTGCGCTCATTGGTAAAACTTCGGGTTTAAAATTGTGCGAATTCTGAAATATTTAGTTGCCAAAACGGCCTGAAATTTTGAGTTGAGATTTCTCATTTTCTGTGAAAGATATCAAAAAGAGGTCAACTGATAAAAAAGTTATCATAATATCACCTATATTTTAGAATTTTATCGATTTTGATATTTTCTATAACAACCGCGATAATTGAGCTCAAAGCGAACGTATTTGGGGGTCTTCTGTTAGAGCATTTACAGTAATCTCAAATTTAGAAAAAATTCCTGTTTCATGTTTATAATAATAATTTGACACGAATATTCAATCTTTAATGTTAGTCATTAATATGTTTTTTACTACAATTTTTGTAATTATCACATTTTTAAACATAATTTCTCAAACCAATATTTCCAGCTTGCCTGAAAGGCTACTACGGCAAACACTGCTCTCAAAGTTGCCGTTGCGCGAATAGCAAGTCATGCGACCACATCTCGGGTCGTTGTCAATGTCCCAAAGGCTACGCTGGTCACTCCTGCACAGAACTGTGTCCCGAAGGAACATACGGAGAAAGCTGCTCCCATAAATGCGATTGTGGTCACAACTCTCTGTGTGACGCGATTTCTGGGAAATGCTTCTGCAAACCGGGGCATTCTGGACCGGACTGCAAAAGTGGATGTGTACAAGGAAGGTTCGGACCCGATTGCAATCAATTATGCTCTTGTGAGAATGGAGGGGTGTGTGATTCGTCGAGTGGGTCCTGTGTTTGCCCGCCGGGGTATATTGGGACTAAATGTGAAATTGCTTGCCAATCGGATAGATTTGGACCAACGTAAGTCAGATTTTTTTTCTGATTCAGTAAGTTGTCTAAAGTTGTTTTGATTCTTTGTAGACAATCTTCCGTATTTAAAGTCAGCAATAATACAATGATTATTTTCAGATGCGAGAAAATCTGCAATTGTGAGAACGGTGGTACTTGTGATCGTCTAACCGGACAATGTCGATGTCTCCCTGGATTCACTGGAATGACATGTAACCAAGTTTGCCCTGATGGAAGATATGGCGCCGGTTGTAAGGAAAAATGTCGTTGCGTCAATGGTCATTGCAATCCAACAAACGGAGAATGCAAATGTAATCTAGGATTCACTGGTCCAAGTTGTGAGCAATCTTGTCCATCCGGGAAATATGGACTCAATTGTACACTCGATTGTGAGTGCCACGGACAGGCTCGCTGTGATCCTGTCCAGGGTTGTTGCGATTGCCCGCCAGGTAGATACGGTAGCAGATGTCAATTCTCGTGTCCCAACGGTTTCTATGGATGGTACTGCTCTCAATCTTGCTCGTGTCAGAATGGTGCCCATTGTGATGGTGCAGACGGGCGGTGTTTATGCCCTGCTGGTTTCCAAGGAGACAAATGCGAGCAGAAGTGTACTGAAGGGACTTTTGGACCAGCGTGTAGTCAGAATTGTAATTGTGGAAAGTTCAAATGTGATACGACGAATGGAAAGTGTATATGTCCGGTTGGAAGACACGGACCACTTTGCGAGGAGGAGTGTAGGGCTGGAAGATATGGAGAAAGCTGTATGAATAAGTGTCAATGTTTCAATGGAGCATCGTGTGATCCGAAAACGTAGGTTTGCGGGTTTTCATAGATCGACCACTGGTAAAACTTGGTTCAAGCTTAAAATTTCGGTTTGATCTAAATTGGAAAATGTAGCGCTTAACAAGTTCTACAAAATGATATATAATTCCGGTATACTTGACTTTCGCATTTCAAATCAGTAGCAGTCGGGACGACACTACCCATGTAGCGTTGCCACCGATGTTTCACGGCTTCTGGCTCAAAATTTGCCATTTAAATATAGCCTGTTATATATTATTTAGTAGACCTTGTCAAGACCCACATTTCACTATATGAAACAAAGAAAAATTCCAAGCTTGAATTGAGTTATGCTGAATGACATGGTGATAAGGTGAACCTGTATACCTCTTTTAAAGGGTTCTCTGATGAAGACCTTGCCGCTTGTTTAATAAAAATTTTAAAGTAGTTGAACTATGTATCTTTTTGCATCCCTCGTCAAGATCTACGTTTTAGTTTTTAATTTTGACCGAAATACCGATTTTGAGCTGAGTTATGCCCATCTGCAAGCCCGTCAAGAATATTTTTGCTGTTTGCAAGTGCTATCTTGAACACAACTACTTTGGTTCATGTTTCGAATTAGGCGTATTAAAATGTTCTATTTTCCAGTGGTCAATGCACTTGCTCTCCCGGCTGGTTGGGTCCGACGTGTCAAGTGGAAATGCTGGACCCGAATAACATTGCCAATCGTGGAGACCTTCCAGAAGACTGGGAATGGAGGAAGAAACGATAAATCCGTTTTTTAGAAGCAGTTTTCCCACTTTACAAGTTTCTTGCCCCTCTTTCTCATTTGACGAATCTCAACTTTTTCTCGCATAGTTTAATTGCAAATTTTCGAAATCCGAGTGTCTCTATTTTGTTCCCATAATTTATTGATATGTTGTTTTGCCATATTTAGTAAATTTCCTTTTTTCCCTTAACACTGGTTTATGTGTTCAATTTTGCTTTCATAAACTTTTCACAGCCTTCTCCAGAAGCTATAATTTACATCATGTGATCAAAAGTTTCTCGAATTTTCCGAAAAATCTAAAGTTTAAAATTCCATATAATTATCTTTTGGTTTTTCGGAGAATTTAGCTTTTTAGTCAATAACAACTTTCACCACACATCATGCTATTTTTTCATCTGATTTTCCTAATACCCACTATTTTCTGTCAAGGTTTTGAGGTGAAACCATGTGGTACAGTAACACAAAAAACCGAAAATTTCGAAAATAATTACAGATCTAAACTGTCACTTCTATGAATCCCACATCTCTTCTGAAACGATTCGAAAATGGCCCAAAACATGTAAAAACGTTTGTGGAAGTGTATCGATTGATGAGAAAATGGATTTAACAGAAATGGAATTGAAGGCAAATTTTAGAAATCTCCAAAATCTAAAAGGGTTTCTGAAAATCAGAAATTCGTCATTGACGAATTTGGAGTTTTTTGAATCCCTGGAAACTTCTGAATGTGGGGATGGTAGGTTTGAGCTTAATTATCTCAGATCCTACGAGAGATATCAAAAATTTGTCAACTGATAAAATGCTGGTGATTATGATAACAACTTTATCAGTTGGCAGATTTTAGATAGCTCTTATAGGAACCAAGTTAATTTATGTCAAATTTCAGACGGATTCGTCATTGCAAATAATCCAGAACTGATCGGTATAAAGTTTTTGAAATTTTTCCGTACCGACGAAAAATGTATCTGGCATATTACTAATAATCCAAAACTGGATATTTCTAAATGCAGGGATTTGCCAGTTTCGAGTGATTTCGAAAGCTTTGGAAATCTTCGAGATTGTGGTAAGATTTTTTGATCTTTAAAAATCTATCGATTTTTTCAGAATGCTACAATCTTCGAATCTCTCCGGAATCTTTGCCTTATTATACCAACTGTGAAACAATATCTGGCGGTTATCAGGGAGTGTTGGAAATCAGAAACCTGTCTGATTCAATGGATCTTTCCAAGTTTTCCAGTCTCAAAGAAGTTTTGGGAAGAATCGAAATTTCTGGAACCCAACTGACTAATCTTTCGTTTATGGGAAACTTGGAAAATTTAATTGTCGATATTAACCAGAATTATGGTCACCTTAGTATCCATAATAATCCGAATTTGAAATTTTTGGGATGGAATTCTTTGAAAGTTAGTTTTTGCTTTTTCGATTTTAGAGACAGGGTCGTGCCTTTTTGGTACTTCATAAAGTTTGCCCTTTTCGGCTCTATAAATTTTAATAACAGATCTAGAACGGCTAAAAACAGAAAAAAACAAATACCCAGATGCGGCTCAAAAATGAAAAAAGTCTGAAAACGGACCAATGACGCACCGAAGATGAACCAACGAAAAAAAAATTTAAGCCACATCACCTTGCAGTATTCAACCACTTTGACAAAATCCATTCAATTTGGTCCTAATATCTCAATCCTGAGAAATGTTATGGACCGCTCCGTTGATGGTCCATCGTTGGTCCGTCAATCAATTACATGTCCAATAACGTTTCACGGCCAATAATACTCTACAAATAATTTAAAAACGGCCAATCAACTGCCAAAAAAAATGGACCGGAGACAGTCCAAAACCTGCCCAAAACAGTAACGAAAGCTACCCAATTAAATATTTTATTTCCAATTAAATATTTTATTTCCAGAACATAACTCCAATAGCCCAACGATTTGATTTGATCATCACCAACAACCACCCAGAATTCTGCCTGAGCACTCAAGAAGCTCAAATGTTTGCCGAAATTTCTGCAATGTTTTTCAATGAAGATAAAATATTGCTATGTCCAGAATTATCGAGAACAGACGGAGTCAAAGTTTGCAAGATTGAAAATCTGGAAGAAGATTGTCATCATGTTGTTGGAGATGTTATAATTGATCAAAACAATGAAATGGATGTTAGGAAGTTTAAAAATGTGACTCATATCTATGGAAATCTTGTTGTACGGGACACAAAGGAGTTGGTGGATCTGAGTTTTTTGTCAAATTTGCAAAATGTGATACGATTGACAAAAGGTATTTTCGAAGAAAAAAGATTCTGAGATTCTGAGATTCTGAGATTCTGGGATTCTGAAACTCTCAGATTACACCAGAAATTATGTTTTCGAGAAAAATCTCCGTTTTACAAATCTCATAAGTTTTGCTTGTTGGTTTAATTGCCATTTAATGCTTTCGAAAATTGGTATAGTTTTTTTAGTTCGAAAAAAAACGCTTCCAACATTTTGACACTAATTTTGAACATTGAACCAAAAAAAGTCTGAAATTTTCAGTCAAATCGAACAATCTGTATTCCTTTTTCTGGATTTCAATGTTGACAATGCTCTACTAAGAAATATCATTTTTCCAGATGACAATCAAATCATCAGAATCATTTCGAACAAAAAACTAGCAATTGTAGAGTTCCCAAACATGAAGGTAATTAAATAATAGAAGCTGCAGCCCACAAAAATCAAAGTTCCAGGTCCCCCCATTTCCATACTTACGTGATGTTAGTTTTCTTGAAATCCGAGATAATTCTCAAGAAATATTCAAAATACAAAGAGATTGTTTGCTGATTCAAGCAAAGACAAAAACCCCAATCAAGTATAATGGAATGGGTTGTTGTGAGTTTTAAATAACTCGAAAATTCGAATTCCCGCCATTTTTTCAGCAAAATTACCAGGAAAAAAGCGGAAAAGCTATGGTGCCATTTATGATTACTACGATGAGGATTCATCAAACGTTCATTTTGGATTCACTTCCATTTTATTGCCAGTAGTCATTTTTCATATGTGAAATAAAGTATATGCTACAGTGAATGAAACAGACAAATAAAAAATTGCTAGATTTGAATTCTTAATCTCCACACGTTGTCCACAATCTCCACCAGTGAAGTTTAAGTTTACGGAGTAGTAATCCTTGAAGTACATATAAGGATAAGGAAACATTGCACATTCCGTTTTTTCCCCAGTTTCCCAATCCTTGAAGGCGTCCGGGTGATTGTCTTGAATCAATGCCTCTCGTTTTCCGCTGGTTATGATGTTCTGGAAAATTCGAACTAGAGCAACACAGTCGGCTAGAGAGCTGGAAGCCAGCCAAACCATACAAAACCACTTACACTGACACTATTCATGAGAAAATCATTTAACTTGGGATTTGAGTAAATTTGAATCAGCCGATCTTGCTGTTCTAAATCCCTATCATCCAAGTAAGCTATATAGGACAACTGCAAGCGATTAAAAGTTTTCAAATTTGTATTTCTAATTGTCAATGTTCCATAGAGATGCCAAACATTGAACAATTTCGAAAAATACTCTTCATCTCCAAAATCCACTATCACATTTCCAACAATAATATCACAATTGTAGGGTAGATCATACATTGATTCGAAATGACAAAGAACATTATCCCGAATGTCTCCAATTTCCTCATTACAAATTTTGGCGTCTAGATTTAAAAATGATAATTCCAAGACTTCAAAAATAAACTTGAATTCCGCAATTGTTATACAAAATTCCGGATGTAAGTTTTCAATATTCGCCAGACCGAGTCCACGCAACTTTTTCTCGAATTTCTGAAAACTTTCTACCTCTTTTTGATGTCTTCTGCATACTTTCGGTACCTTTAAAACCGGCAAGCCTAACCGCTTCATTATCGGATTATTTTGTAAGTTCAGTATAACAGTCCTATTGGATTTCACTGTCCAAAACTGCCAATTAGTCAAAAATGATAAATTTTGAATGTTCGAATTCTGAATGTCTATCGAGCCTTGAATGGTTGTAATATTAGACAATGGATATAAATCGAGGTTAGTGGTATTCAGAAGTTTTAAGCCATTGAAAGTGGTGTTGCAGTTTTGGAATTCAGAAAGTGGCCCGTTACCTTGGCAACCTGGAAGTTTTTCAAGTTTCCATAACATTAACTAATTCATTTTCATTTTAGAGATTTCAGAGGTTTCATTTTAGAGATTTTTTTTTCATATTCTATTTTTTACTTTTTGTTTAAATTCAAAATATCAAGTTTGAAGCAAGTTTTGTAAATTTGAAAAAAAACATACCACAATTTTTGAAATTCCCTTTTGTACGAATGTCCAATAAATCCTTTAATTCTCCTTGACCACATAAACTGCTCATATCTAATAATTCATTGTTTTCGATCGACACATAACATTCCTTGGTAGTGTTTTGAGAATAAAATCTGGTTCCTAACAACATTGTTCCATTGGTTAGTTTTGAATTGTTTCGGATAACAAGACCATCTAAAATTGGAGTTTTACTTTAAAAAATTTGACTGTATTTCAGTTTAGAACAAAATTTTACCAAACTTCTGGGGGCCCCTAAACTATAATGGAGTCAAAAAATTGCCTTACATGTTTTACAGTAAAAAGGTAAATACTCATAGGGATATGTGAAAAAATCCAGGTTCGATAAACTCGAATTTTCCACTATCAACCCTCCAACTAGGGTTGTCATATTTTTGAAAACCGATTTCAATTGAGCCAATGACAAATCAGTGTTTGAGTTGATAACCAATATTCCATAAACCATTCCACATTTTGGGAAGAATTTTTTAGTTTTTGATGTTATTTCACTGTGGTTGAATACACATTCTGGGGCTGGAAGAAAGTGAGATTTCAGGAAGAAACTAGGCTCTTTGTGGCTCATTTTCTACCCTAGGCAATCCATTTTCTAACCAGAACGGCCAATGGCGGACCAACGACAGGCCGACGACGGACTGATAGCGGGTCTATGGTTGACCAGCTCATAACTTTATTCAGACTCCATATTTTTTGACCAACTAAAATAGATATTATAGAACTTGAACAGGACAGTATCATTATTAGACAATAATAAAACAGTATCATTTGAAATTCCGAAAAAAAAATTATGGGCCCATTCGTCGTTGTCCCGTCGTTGGTCCGTTAATGACTCACGTGTCCCATAGCTTTTGACAACTTTTTCTAAATCATCTGAAAACGATCCTGATCCATTTGAAAACAACGATACAAAAATTAGCAGAAGAATATACATCATAGTGATGTGAGATGTTTAAAAAAATCGTATGATTTCCAAAAGTTTGTTTTCCATCTTCCTCCGCAAATCATAGAGCATAAGACATTTTGCAAATTATTGGTTGAAGGAAATCTTGTGACAAGTAGAATCACTTTTACTTTTTCATTTCAATATCTTCTATACATCATGAATTACGAAACTGTAGATGATCCATATTCTGATGAATACCTGTACCATGAATATGTCGAGTATGGAGATCGATGGATCTACTACGATTATCTTACCGAAGATTTTAGAGCATTTTTCGAAAGCCTAAACCCGATTATAGAAGTTTCCAAACAGTTATATGATATTGCTTGCTTCTTCAGTTTATTCATCAATTTCTTTCATCTATCCATTCTCTCTCGCAAAACGTTAAGGACTAATCTTGTCTACCTAATAATGATTGGAATCTGCATTTGTGATATTTTCCAGTCCCTTGGTAACATCACACAGATTGGAATGGACTACATCTATCAAGTCCAAGCATGTTACAACGGAACCAGATACTCTCATCTGATGGTCAATTTAATTGCTAAAACTTTGCAAATCCTATGTCGACGAGGCTCAAGTTTTCTTGCATTGTATATTGCGACAATTCGAGCATTATCGGTTCTTTTCCCGATGAATAATATTATCAGCGCTATGACACAGATAAAAGCCGGGGTTTTGGTTATGTTCCTTGTCAGTGTTGCTTCTGGTTCTTGGAGTTTGGTTTATTTTGTGAAATCAAAATTTGTCGTGGTACAAAAGTAAGTAGCCGCGGCCGCGGCTTGGCAGCTTGAGCCACTGTAGCTCAGCTGGTAGCAACGAGGCACCTCCAACGATGGGCTCACATTTTTTTGACGAACTTATTTTCTAATCGTTTAAGGCTTACGCGAGCTTCATTTCTAGCGGTAAAAAGAGTTTTAGTCGCTATCAACTGAGCAACAAAGACAGCTCACTAACCATTATTATATATCGTTCAATTTCAGCTGTGACAGCGAAATGGTTGACTACTTCTCCTTCACTGGACCAGTCGTAAAACTGTTGAGACCTAGCTACCTGCCATATCGACTTGTCGACCGAGAAACATGGGAATTAACCTACTTGATGGTAGATGGATTCGTTGCAATATTCATCAGTATATGCTATTTCCTTGTTGTTATCGCTTTAGTCATCGGAATAAGAAGAGCCAATAAGATAAGGAAAAATGTCAGCAAGGAGGAGCAGTGAGTTTTTTTGGATTTGGGGTCTGAAGTGATAAAAATGAATTTCAGATCCAGGACCAATACATATGCATTGGTATTGTCTATGGCGTTCAGTTTATTTGTCTCAGAAGCGTTTTATGCTGCCTTATTCTACGCAAGTGATATTTATTTCGGCTATAGAGAGCAGTGAGTTTATTTTTTGGCTCAGCTGGAGACAGTCGACCCCGCAGCTCCAGCTATGACCGTGTAGCTTTAGACGTGACTGCATAGCTCAATCATCACCAATTCCAGAGAAGAATTCAAAAAGCTGGACTCCTTCGTGCTCACTCTCCAAATCGTCAACTCTTCTGTTCACTGTCTCATATGCTACTGCATGTCGTCACAGTATCGGGATACTGTAAGAGGATTGTTCGGAAAGAGAAGAGAAGATAAATCTATTGTCTCCATTGTCCGTTCTTCGTCTGAATAATTTTATATTTTTTTGATTAATTCCAGTAGAACATAAACTGTAGTTGACAAACTCTTGAAATCCGAAATTTCTGAAATTTCAAAACTAGTTCCTGACTTCCTATAATTATCTTTTTTTGTTCAGAAAATTTTGACGTCATATGACACACTTTTTGTTGATTTTAAAATCTGAAAAAAAACTATGGGCCCACCCGTTGTTGGCCCTTCGTTGGTCCGTTAATCACTCTCGTGTTTTATAGCTTTTTACAACTCTTTCTAAATCGACTGAAAACGATCCTGACTCATTTGAAAATAAGGATACAAAAATCAGCAAAAGAACATACATCATGGTGATGTGAGAATTAAAAGAAACTTTGTGATTGCTATAAGTTTGTTTTCCATCTTCCTCCGCAAATCATAGAGCATAAGACATTTTGCAAATTATTGGTTGAAGGAAATTTTGTGACAAGTAGTTCGGATGAAACCTATTGTAAATACACAGACTGTCTAGAAAAATCCCAAAATTATAGCGGCCCTCGTGAAGGTCTATTCAAATGGTGAGACATTTTTTGATTTTTCGTGAGTTTGGAGTCGGGACCGTTTGAGCGACCTTAACTTTGTTCAT